AATATTATAATTTTAAAGAACGCGTGGATAAAAATAAGAGAAACAAAATTATATTTTCGGAAAATTGAGAAACAAACAAGGTTTAGAATATTTCATATTAGTATTAGAAGAAAATGCACTTGATTTGACTAAGTGTTTCATATTAGACTTAATACTTCTCTTATGAATTAAGCAAATACTATTTTTTCAAAATTTAAAATTATTTATCAAATTATTATATTTAATTAAATTTTTTTTTTAGTTCCAGTTCGATCTTGGTCCAACTAGATTCGACTTTTTGGCTATTGACCCTCTTCATTATTCGATCAATGGTCCATTCCATTTTAAAATTGACTAATACATCAGCATTGATTATTTAATAGACAAAATCAAGATAAAACAAAAGCAAGTTATACGTCAGCTCTTATCTCTAATATCAACTACCAATATTATTAAAAAGCAAGACAAAAGAAAAATAACATTCATGAACAACAAACAATTATATTAATTCTTAATAAATTGAAAAGATTCATTACATCAAAGAAAAATGCAATCTATTCAAAAACCAAAAATAAATTTTCTATATTTTCCAACAATTCTTATAAAATTCAAATGAATTTTTAGGACAACATTTTAGATGCCATAATATTTTTTTTTTATAAAATGTCCATTCAAAATAAGGAAAATCGAAGTCAAATTTTTTAGTCTTGAATCTTAAGCTGGTATTATGTTCTATAGATATGGATTTGGAAATATTGCATCACTAGTCTCTAACTTTTTTTAAGTAGTAAGTTGGTTTCCAACTTTATAAAAAGGAGCAAGTTAGCTATCGAATTTTCGTTATATTTGTATAATTTATCTTCGATGATAAAATTATCCAAAATATTTGTCAAATCAACACTTGACCTTTTATGATGAACATTGGGTAATTGGCGCAAAACGTCCCTATCTTTGACGGGTTTTGTGCAAAACGTCCTTACGTTTCATTTTTTGGTGCAGAACGTCCCTACCTTTCACATTTTTTGTGTAAAACGTCGTTTTTCTCAATTTTTGACAATTTTACCCTCTATTCAAATAAAACAAAAACAAAACAAAAGAAAAATACACAATAAATTGTAATCTTACTCCTAGACTTTTCTAAAAATACAAATGAGTCCAAAACTTATAAAAATATTAAATTTTACAATTAACACATTAAATTTAATTAAAT